ATCCAAAGTCCATATTTTTACATATAAGGTATGATGGAAAAACAGTGATTGTCTTTGCTAAAATCAGTGATGTGTTTGGGTCATCTGTTAGTGAGGCAAAAGTTTGACATTATTTCTTTGACAAATACGTTTTTTTTGGAAAAGATTTAACTAAGCTTCACAATCTGTTGCTGTGCCACATGTGTAGTGGGTGGGTGGGTGTTCTCTGTGTTGTGCAAGGAGATGATCAGTGACCCAGGGCCAAAGTGCTGAACTGGTGGTGAGGCAGAATGGGAAATGGAGAGACACATATTCTGTGACAATTTATACAGATCACTTACAGCCCTGGGCAGATGTTATGCTCTGCTGTCACACACGAGGTTGACTGACCCAGACTTCAGTGTTTACAGAAGAGTGCTGATCATCAGTTCCAAATTGGGCTGAAAAAAGAAAACAGGATGCTGTCAGTATGGCTGGGAGGCAGACACACTTAGCAGCTACAGCTGAGCAGGTGTGCTGTGCTGCTGTTCACACTGCTGGGCAGTGACACTGTGTATTGAACTCACTGAGCATTTTAAATCTGCGTGGTTGTCCTAAACAAAAAATAGAGATCTTTCAGCATTCCTTCCACAGGGCTCCTGCCCTGCAGCTAAAGCATGGGGATTTGTGGGATCAGAGTAATCCTGACAGATGACTGGAGAAGCTGAGCATTGATCTAAACAGCAGATATTCACTGTGACTATTAACTGGCTGTACATTATTGACTGCATTTTACTGACTGCTTTATAGTGCTCACAGTTGAAACCGTGATTATGAACTTAGGTGGTAAAACCACAGCTTTTGAAAGAGACTTCGGCTTGTTTGCTGCTTCTTTACATTATCATAGCCTTGTGAGTTCAGTAGGTGCAAATTGAATAAAGATTTTTAAAGTCATTACTGATTGGAAAGCTGTGGAACACCAATGCATCTCATCTGTTCCTTCATTCCCATTGCAATGTAAGCCCAGAGGGCTGTGAGGAGGGAGCCAGCACTGCCATCCAGCTCCATGGCCTTGCAGCACCCTTTGTGGTGGCATAGGTAAGAGAGACAGCCCAGATGCCACACCTAGAGCTCTGGTGTGTCTGCCCTCCTAAAAAGGCTTCATTGCAGGTCTGTCCTACCACCATGTCTTCCCTGTCCTGGGTTCCCTGTATATGTTTCCAGCAACTACGAAAAAGCTGAATGATATTTATCATGCATAGATAACTCAGTTCTGTGAGGTGTTGAGTGCTCTGGCACCAATCCAAACATGCTTTCAAAATGGGTTTGCAACAAAGCAAAGGTATCAAGCCACTGGCAAGAAGTCTCTGGCTGGGCATGGAGTCACTTGCTTCCTATGTAAGATGCCTGGAGTGAGATATTCCCTGTGCAGTTCTGATAACCCCAGGGGGTTTTGCCCTCCCTTGTCTTCTTTCCAGTGCCTGAGATCATGCCACACAAGGTCATAGGTAGGGGTCTGAGCTATTACTTTATACTGGTTCTTTTTGTGGTCCTCCACCATTTTAACAGTGAGCAGCTTTTCTTACTCAAGGGCTTATTGCATCAGTTCCAGCTGTCTCATGGATCAGAAATAAGGGTAACAGCTGCAGGAAGCTATGGACGATCATGTCCTGCCTGTGTGTGTTTCCAGCCCCACACATCCCTGCAAGGCATCAGCTTTTTGCAGTGTATTGGAAACTGGTCATGTGAGGCCAGCACAAAACCTTTCAGACCAGTCCTGAGTGTAAGCAACAGCAGCTGCACAACCACATTGTCCCCCTGTTCCCTGTCTGTGGTGTCAGGAGAGAGAGAAGGCTGCTTGCTAGTCATCTCTTCTGATCTCAATGATGTTAAATGTCTGACTGCAACGACCTCATTAAGGATGAACACTAACAATGTCTGACTGCCCCTCAAATACACTGAGCAGCTGCCATCCAGTCTGGAAGCTAAGGGTGACCCAAAGTGCTTTTCTGACACCAGCCTTTAATCTGCATTGGTTATGACAGCCAGCACCATGTCCTTTCAGCCCAGGTGTTTACCCCCAGCTTGTTAGGGGTGCTGCAGGTTAGTAATGTATCTATCTCCTTAGCAGCACTTCTTCAAAAAGTCAGATTTCTGAGGCCTGCTAATTCTTGACATGGATTATATAGCTCATTCTTCTGAACAAGCAAAACCCTAGGGCCAAGATGTGATTGAACCATAAGCTGTCTTTTAGTATTGCACAAGATGATTTCTTCCTATTAGAGTACATCTACTTCCTTCAGAGTGCTTTTATACCTTGTCTGCAGTATATTCCTAAAAACTTTCATGTCTCTGAACTGGGTGAGAATAAACTAGTCTTTAAGGACAAAGCATGCTATTGTGGTCATCTCTAAAGTAATGAAATGGTGACAGTCCCTTGTGGGCTGCAGCCACTGGCCATCCTGTCCAACAGACACTTCTGTTCTCTTCATCAAGGCTGAGTCCTTATTGTGGCAGGTGCAGGGAGATTTTCCATCCTCTTTTTCATAGTTCACTGTGTTAAGGCTGACTTCTTGGAAACTATTTCTGGATGTACTACAAAGTTGCTGTAAGGGACTATTTAAATTGATTAATTAAAGCAACTACTTCCAAATGTCTTCTAAGTTATGAGAGCTGGCATTGGTGTGTGGTAGTAGCTTTTGAGAAGACAGGATAGATGTTTCATTTACAGATTGAGCAATTATAAATCTATAATCTTTTTGCTCTTTCTGGTAAACAATACTTGAATCATTAAACATACAGAGAAAGGGAGTGCATATTTATGGGGTTTTGCTCCCATCTCTTTCTTTTTTCTATTTGTCCAAGAGGGCTCAGATGTGAATAAAAGTAGAAATTTGATGGGAGGGGGTAAGGGCAAGAAATAATTTGAACCAAAGTTCACTTGATATTTTAAAAGAAATTTAACATCTTAGCTTTTGTCTTCAGTAGGTACATGATAAAACTTAGAAAAAACAACCCACTTATTACCTAAATACAGATTTCATGGGTATTTCGTAGGGTGTGGATAGAGTTCTGACAGTACTACAACTATGAAAGTGATCCATGCCAAAATCAAAGTGTAAGAGTATTAATATTTGTTTCTGAACAAGAGATATTCCAAACATGCTGAAGAGTTCATGCCATAGGTAAAAGCAGCACACCTCTCTTCCTTACTTAAAAGAAATCTCTAATACTAATATTAAAGAACTGAACAAATGCAGTGGAGAAAGTAATTTTCTTGTGAATTACTTGTTTATGCTCTGATTATGTTAGCTGATTTTTTTCCTTTTATATATCTATTTTCCTTTCCTTTGCATAATAAGTTAATTAGCTGAAATAATAGTTTCTCATTTAGTTCTCCTAATGAATTCTACATTTTGTAGGGAAGGAGAGGAGGGTCAGGTGATAGAATCAGTTTGACATCACTGAGATATCAGGAAAAGTTAGTTGTGTTTTCTTTGATCAAACATGAAATTATTCAGACATAGACCTGTGGCTTGTTTTATTTAACTGAAATTGTCTGTCTCATTTGAATAATTCAAAATGGCATATTTTAATTTTTTTAAAGAAGAAAGCCTATTAATGCAACTTCTTGCATCAAATTATCTAAATTGATTTAGAAACCATCACTGATGTAAAACAACTGTGTTACCATAAACTCTGCTATGTAGAGAGACTGCCCAGTCTCTATGAATATTTCTCATGACAGTCTGCTATCAACT